CAGGGCTCAGGATTGTGTCAAAGGTATAATCACTAATCTATTGGAATTTAGTAATTTGGAGCCTGAATTATCCCATAGAACAACAACAGCAACAAAAAAAGAGGCAAAATGTGTTAACCACATCAGAGCAGAGAAACTGTAGGACTAAGGAACATACCTCTCATTTCTGCTGCTTTATTTTCAGTTATCCAGGTTATTCAATTGCATTTACCAGAGATAGATACAGGCCTTGCCAAAAATGGAAATATACATCTCATATGTATTATTCTAAGTTAATGGATCCTGATTTTGTTGTTGATTACATTTCAAAACCACTTTAAAATGATTTATACCTGCTGTTCACATAAATATCATGTCATTTTGTCTTTCTATCAATGGGCCAGTAGTGCCTGGGACAGTTTGAGATGAGTTTCCTGTCCTGTTGGCTTCCTTGGTCAGAAAGTTGAGTGCTTTTCTTTTTACGAGCTCTAGAGAGTAAAGTTTGGGCTGCTGTTCACCTTGCCTCACCTTACCTCATGTTTCCGTGCAGTCTCCCCCATAAATTTCCAACTGTTCTGACACCTCCAGTTTATCTTTCTTCCACTGGCTGTCCCAACCTGAAAGTTGGTGTGATTTCTCCACATGATGGAATGTGTTCAGATAATTGCTTGCTTTGCTTTCCTGTTAGCTAAGCTCTCCCATTCCCACTGGGATGTCACATTTTGAAATAGTAACTGAGTCACATTTTAGGTTTTAAAACAGGAGATGGACAGTATCTGAATACTGCTTGGGTTTTTCTAGACTCTTGAGAATAATCTTTGCATTGATTCTTGTTCTTTATCTTTGGAGCAGAGGCATGGGTTAGGTTTCAGTGACCTAATAGAGCATGAAAATGACTACTACCGAAAAAACTGAATTGGAGATACTCAGGCAAATTTTAAAATTAGATCAGCATGTTATCATATACTAGAGGCCCAGTGCACGAAATTCGTGCATGCGAAGGGTCACTAGTGGCTGCTGGCTGCCAGCCGGGGCCTCACTTTGCCAGCTGCCGGCCGGGCCTCCCTTCCCTGGCTGCTGGATGCTGGCCGGGGCCTTCCTTCGTTCCACGCCGCCCCCTGGTGGTCAGCACACATAACGAGTGATCAAACTCCCGTTTGGTTGAACTCCCAAGGGGACACTTTGCATATTAGGTTTATATATATATAGATGTTTGGTCATTGTAAGAATTAAGACTTGGCTAATGCTAGGCTAAGATGTAAACTCATGGCAGATATAGAGCAGACTTAAGGATCATCTTTGGAACATCAGGTTCCTTTTTGAAAGACATAAAATTTTGTCTTGTGATAAGAGAAAGGAGCTTTTATTAGGTTGGTGATCAACATTTGAAACCAATGTGATTTTTATAAAAAGACTAGAGGCCTGGTGCACGAAATTCATGCACGGGTAGGGTCCCTAAGCCTGCCCGGTGATCAGGACTGATCTGTGGGGTGACTGGCAGGGCAATCGGGGGGCCCCTGCTGGCACCCGCCTTGGCTGGCCTGGGGGCAGCTCCTACGTTAAGCATCTGCCCCCTGGTGGTCAGTGTGCATCATAGCAACCGGTCATTCCACCATTTGGTTGATTTGCATATTAGGCTTTTATTATATAGGACTATTTTATTATCCAGACCTATTTCTCTTCTGTACTTAGAACTATAACTATATATTTGTGTTCTATATAAGTGTGAAGCGTTATTTATATATAGCAACAGTGTCCAATAATAACATGGTATGAGCCAGATGTGTACTTTAAAATTTTCCATTATGTTCCTTATAAATGGTGAGAAGAAAGAGGCTAAAAAGTATTTTTCAACATGTAATCAATATAAAAATATTTTTAAAAAACTTACAGTGCATCGCAGTCTGTACCGGCCACATTTCATATGGTAAACAGCACATGTGGCAAATGGCTGTTGTCATAGCAGCAAGTACAGAGGATATTTCACTTTTCGGTGGCTGTCAGAGGAAGGCAAGAAATTATAAGGGTACTTAAATCAGTTTTGCAGCTTTAGCAGTTTTGGTGAGTATTTAAATCGAATCAGTTGGTAAAACAAGATAATACTATTCATTGATTTGTTGTTGGTGGTGGTGTTGCACTTGTCACTCCACTGCCACTGGTGTGCTTGCTCTTTTAGGTTTTTCCCAAAGTTTTTTAGCACCTTAAAATGACTTACTTTGGGAGACCTTATGAATATTTGTTTGAAATGTCATATGCTATTTGAATCCACACCTCCAAAACTTCCTATTGTGTAGCTGATGTGGTAAATTAGTTTCTTATGCTATTGGGCAAGGCAGAGAGGTTCAGCCTCTTCAGCAGCCAGATATACTCTAGTTGCAGTAAACAATTAGGGCTGTGAGCAATTGACCTTGGAAATGTTCTAATTTGCTTGTCCCTGGGTGCTGCTTAAGGCGCTGGCTTTCTCTGTGGGTGGGAGTTATGAACCCAGTTTGGAGAAGCTTTAGAGGCACTTGAGGCAAGCTCCAAACAGATGTGCTTCTTGCTTCATCTTTGCATGTGACCAAGTTGCAAGAGGCATGTTCCTCGCGTGCATTTCTTTGAATGCCTTGTGGAATCAGACACTTCCGCCTAAAGTTGAGAGGAAGCTTCGGTTACCTTTAGGTCTACCCTTCCCCTTCCTTCCAGCACTATCTGCCATAATGATGGCTGATTAAAAATGATTTCATCACTATTTCATCATATTTCTTAAATTCACTGAAAGAGGACATAGAAGGCACCTTTTATGGTTTTGTCTTTATTACTACTGTTGTAGTGTCAGATCTGGAAGCTAGCTGAATAAGTGAAGAGAAGGAAATGTTATTTGGAAAAGTTATGCACAGTGAGAAGTTATAGGCAATACTCAGTAGACAGAGGAGAGAGAATATGTGTAAAATGTAGTTACACTCTCGAAACTGGTGGTGGCAGCAGTGATGGCGTTTGCTCCCACACAAAGATTTGGGCTTCCTTTTCTTTGGGGCAGTGCTTGGGCAACGTAGTTTTCTCCCTTTACTGTTGTACTGTACCGATTCAAAACATTTACTTGTGTTTGGTTGGCTTTCACTATTCTTAGATGATTGCTGATACTTGTTTGATAAATTACTAATATTTATTGGCCCATGTGCTCAAAAAACTAATAATTTAGTTAGCAGGTAAGACAAATATAAGGAAGGCTACATGGTAGTAAATGGTATGTTTCAAATGAGATGATGGGTCTGTCTGTCCCACTCACGACTTTTTACATTATGACCTAACAGCTTGAATTTCTATCCGGTTGACACACATCTTTTGTAGATGACACTTACTAGGCAACCTACCAGTGACAAACATACAGTGCTCTTTGTGTATTTACCTGCCATGTTCTAAATACCTCATGGGTATTCATTCATTTAATCCTGCAACAATGCTGTAAGGGTAGGTAGGTAACATAATTAATTGCTGTTTTACATATGAGTACACTGAGCCTTTCTCAACCCTTTTCCTCATGTGTGACTTTTCCCTTCTTGTTTGCAGTGAGCTCTGAGATCAGTCCTCTTACCCACCCTGCGCCTGTGCTCATTGGAGGGACAGCCCTTTTGCTGAGCTCTGCCATCATTGTACCTGAAAGTTGCATATCCATTCTATACTAATGCTCATTATTGACTTGTAAGGTTCCCTTGCTGGTCTTAAAACAAAAGGCTTTGACTAGGAAGGACTGTATTTAAAAATCTTGATTACCATGAATTGTTTCTACTGTACAGGTCATCCTTGCTTGATCTTGCCTCTGGCCATGACCAAAACATCTGGCATTTACTCTCTGAAAAATGGAAGCTGTTAATTTCTATACCCATTTTAAACTGTTGAGCCTGGTTTACAAGAATGTTCATGATGTCACTAGCTATACCCCTCCTTCCGCTCTGTGTGCTCCAGCTAGAGAAACTGGGTCGAGTTCCACCATGTGCTCTGTCACGCCTCTTTGCCTTTGCTCACATGACTTCCTTTCCCTACAATGCTCTCTCCCAGTTGACTGCGTGGAGGGCACTTACTCATCTTTCCAGGCGAAGCATAAGTATTGTGTTTTCTACAGACATTCTTCTCCTACCCAGACCCAATGGCTCTCTTTGGTTCCTCTGTATGGGTTGTGCATTCATTTATCAAAACAATACAGCACTTCTTTGCATTTAATTGTTTGTAAGTCCACATTCCCACCATGAGATCCAGTTTGAAAAGGCCAGTAAATAGCCTGTTTCCCAACCAAGTCTTGTCTCTGTTGCAACTGCCCAACTCTGCCATAAATAATATATGAACGAATGGGTCTGATTTGACCAGTAGTGGGCTGCATTTTACTGACTCCTGGTCTAGGTAAAAGTCATTCTGTGATATTCTCTGTTCATATGTATAAGGCTAATAAGGATAGGTTCAAGTTTATAAAGTCAATGTACCTGGAAAGGAATTATGGAGAAAATAACAGAAATGTTCTTGTAAATAACCTTTTTTTTTCTGGCCATTTCAATTAATTATTGGTAGAAAATAATTTTTAATTTCACATAAAAGAGTATAATGTGAGCCTTGGCAGCTTCTATCTCATGAGTTCGTAATAACTCGAACTTGAAAGTTCTTCTAGGGTCAGGCCTGTCCATAGTGAAGTTCATGTGATTTCCTCCTTTCCTAAGCCCTTTACATTTTCTGGAGTTAGTTCCACAAATACATACTCTAGATACAAGGCCCTTATCAAGTGTATGATGTGTGCGTACTTTTTCCTGTTCTGTGCATTGCTGTTTTACTTTCTTGATGGTGTTCTTTGAAATGTAGAAGTTTTTAATTTTGATGAAGTCCAATGATCTATTTTTCTTTTGTTGCTTGTGCTTTGGGTATCATACCTAAGAATCTATCGCCAAAATCTAAGGTTATGAAAAGTTAATCCTATTTTTTCTAAGAGTTTTGTATTTATAGCTATTACATTTAGATCCATTTTGAGGTAATTTTTGTATATTTTTGAATTTAAGGTCAAATTTCATTCCTTTGTATGCACGTGGCTATCCAGTTGTCCCAGCTCTGTTCTTTCCCCAATGAATGGTCTTGGTACCAAGTCGAAAGTAAGTTGGCCACACAAGTTTATTTTTGGACTCTCAGTTCTGTTCCATTGATGAAGTTGTATGCCTGTCTTTGTGCCTGTATCACACTGTCTTGTTGTGTTGCTTTGTAGCAAATTTTGAAATTAGGAAGTATAGTCCTCCAATTTTGTTCATCTTTTTAAAGATTGTTTGAGGTCCCTTGTAATTCTATATGAATTTTAGGATCAGCTGTCCATTTCTACTAAGAACCTAACTGGGATTCTGATGGGATTTTATGAATCTGTAGATTAATTTGGGGAGTATTACCATCTGAACAATATTAAGTCTTCCATTTCCATGTATTTTTACATATTTACATTTTTCATGTTGTTTTTACATTTTTTAAGATATTTTAAAATTTCTTTCAATAACATTTTCAGAGTATTAGTTTTACACTTTTTGTTAATTTATTCCAAAAAAAATTTTACTCTTTTTGATGTTAATATAAATGGAATTGTTTTCTTAATTTCATTTTCCGATTATTCATTACAAATAGAATTGATTTTTATATGTTAATCTTATAGTAAAGTTGCAGGCTGAAGAGATGTCTTACATCTCTTCAGCCTGCAACTTTACTGAAATTGTTTATTAGTTTTATGTGTGTGTGTATATATATATATACACACACATACACACACACTGAGTATATATCCCATACGATGCAGTGTACAGCTAATTTGCCTACAAATGTCAGGTGATTCCTTAGGATCAGAGCATGTCATCTACAAATAGAGATAGTTTTATTTTTCCCTTTTCTAATCTGGTTGCTTTTTGTTTATTTTTCTTGCCTAATTGCCCTGACTAGAAACTAGAGTACAATGTTGAATAGAAGTGGTGAGAACTGACACTCTATCTTGTTCCTGATCTCAGGCAAAAGCATCTAGTCTTTCCTCATTAAGTCCTGTATAACGTTAGCTGCAGGATTCCCTCCGTGTCCTTCCAGCACCCTCTATGGAGAAAGTTTAACATGCTCGCTGTAAAAGGAGATGCTCAAAGCAATTCCATTCATTACCCGAGGGTGTGTATTAGAAGATACATTTGAGCTGAGTGGCAACAAATTGGTTAAGTGGAACAGCACACAAATAAGCAAGTGGAATAAAGCCTTAAAGATGTGTGATAGAAACCTCTGTTCATAAGCAATCCTAGCTAAGGGCCTATAGGAAAAATTTCACACAGAAGGTGAAGAGAAAAAGGTGGGTAGGTGTTTCCTGGGAGAGGTTACTTCTGAGGAAAGCAAAGGTGAGAAGAGGTGTGAAGTCCTTGGTGTCAGGTTCTGTGGAGAGTAAGTTTTCACCCTACTTGGTAGTTACCATGTTAGCCACCAGTTTCATGGATGCGGGCAAAAGACAGGAGACTTCTGGATGAGAGACAGGTCTTTATTTCTTGTAGCACATGTGCCCATGGGTTTGCCTTGCTGCCCAAGTCCTTGCGGAAGTGATATGGAAGGGTCCAGAGTGATTCTGCAGTGGGTTTGTGTCACAGCTATGGGATCCAGATTTCTACAATGGGCTTTGCCCTGGAGGAAGACATTATCTTACTGTACTGCCCTCTGCTTTGGGGGGAAACACTGTCCCAGTCTTCCAAAGCTCTGTTCATTGTGCAAACATCTTTGAAGAGATAGTTTGCAACAAAACGGCCCTTCATGCCTCTGCTTGCAAACTGTGCCGAGATGTGTGAGACCTATTAAGAATTGTTTCTCAACACCTGGCAGATTCAGGGACCCACGAGCCGTTCAGATTGAAGATTAACTTCAGTTTGGGCCTTTCTGAGATTTTTGCCACCACATGTTACAGCTTCAGCACTTACGTCAGGAAGATGTAAGACATCTCTTCATGTAGGAAGGGCATGGTTGCTGCTGGGTTCCTTTCTTCTTTCCCTTTTTGCCAAATAAGCCAGCACAATACTTGGTTGGCTGAGCAGAATAACTTAGGACTTGAAAAATTCTGGAATCAAGTAACCTGGGTTCAGACTCAGTTCTGCCAATTAATAGCATTGTGACTTTAAATAACTTTGATTTTCTCATCTGTAAAATAGGAATAGTATTATAAACTAGCAACTAATACCTAATGACGACTTAACTATGTGTCCACAAATACCTCCCTTATTCCTACTTTATTTAGGGTTGATATGAGAATTAAATAATGTGTGTAAAATGTTCCCCACTGTGCTTGGCACATAGCACTAACATGATTTCATTTTTGTTAATAATTATTTAGGCCCTTTGCAGGTGAGAAAGAGGGATCCTTTGACGTTCTTGGCTCAAAATGAGTATTACACAGAATTAATATTGTAACAGTTTAATATTATACAGGTAGCCATGAGGTAACATGCAAATCCTGCCACCTACTAGCTGTGCGACTTTGAACCAATTATCTTCACTTCTTTGCATATGGACAGTATCTTTTTTTCATGGTTGTTCCTAGTTTGAAGCAGCTTATACGCTTTGTTATGCAGGATTTACTTCTCCTTGGCTAGTCAGACCAGAAACACTTGCTTTGGTTATAAGAATCAGTGGGAAAACAACTTAAAGTATATACTTTTCTATTGAGATGGAGAATGGCACCAAGATGTTGAGGGCCAAGTGTGTTTGTGTGGGTGGAGGGAGTATGGGCCTTATCTTCTTAATAGAAAAAAAGGAGACATTTATGGTAAGGTCTGAGAAGCAGGAATGTGTTCTAGTTTCAGAAAAATTAGTATGGGATTTAATTTCAAGCAAAAAGGATGAGAGTTCCTGTGGGACAGACTAAAATAGACATTTAAACCAGTTAACAAAGAAAGATTATGTAATGTGTTACATAGAAGATGCAGCTTGTTAGTCTGTTCCCTTGTAATGGAACCTTCCAGAGTTCTTAGGTAGTTTTGGAGTTTGTTGAGTTTGAAGGAATTACCCTGTATCTGCCATATCTTTGTTCTCTCAAGGCTAAGTTTATGAGTTCATTTGGACCTTGGCTGGAACTCAGAAATAATTTTATAATTTTCAAAGTGCACCATGCACCTGCGTTTAGGTACTTAATAATTGGGAGGCAAAATACAAATAGTGTTGCTCTAATGAACCCTAACAGATTCATATACCAAATCCCTGTAATACCCAGAAACTTTTCTTAGACCCAGGTGGATGTCAGATGACCATACAAGGTCTAAGGCAGTGGTTCTCAACGTTCCTAATGCTGCGACCCGTTAATACAGTTCCTCATGTTGTGGTGACCCCCAATTTCATTGTTACAAATTGAACATAATTAAAGCATAGTGATTAATCACAAAAACAATATGTAATTATATATGTGTTTTCCGATGGTCTTAGGCGACCCCTGTGAAAAGGTCGTTTGACCCCCAAAGGGGTCGCGACCCACAGGTTGAGAACCGCTGGTCTGAGGTATTTCGGATGCTCAACTGTGAGGCGGCTTTTTCCCTTTCCTCTTTTATTTTATTTTATTTATTTATTTCCTTTCCTCTTTTATTTTTTAATTAACTGATTGTATGTTCCAGGAATTTATTTTTCATTCTTTTTGTTGTTGTTAATCGTCACCCAAGGCTATTTTTCCATTGACTTTCTGAGAGAGTGGAAGGGAAGGGGAGAGACAGAGAGAGAAACATCAATGTGAGAGAGACACATTGATTGGTTGCCTCCTGCACCCTCCCTGACCAGGGCCAGGGATCAAGCCTGCATCAGACGTACCTGCCCTAAACCGGAATTGAACCCAGGACCTTTTCGTCTGCGAGTCAACGCTCTATCCACTGAGCCAAACCGGCTAAGGCTGTTTTTCATTCTTGTATTTAAAAAATATTTGCATCTTCACCCCAGTGTATTGCTTCTCATTCTTATCACTCTTGGCCATATCACCAATGGGGGAGGGGGCTCTCAAAATATAAGCAAAATCTTTTACATAATCTGCCCTCACATGTTAGTATAGTTGTAGCCAGGGCAGGGTAGACTGCCATGTGACCAGGAATTTTAATGTCCTGTGTTCTTTCTTTCTTTATTGGTTTTGGTTGGCCATGGGAATGGATTTCTTCTCTAAAGGGGAAGGTATATTTGCCAAAATATTATGTTATTTGTTAGAGTTTAACAGGTGATTGATTTAACTTCCTGTTTTCATTAAGAACACATTTTAAATGTAGATCCGGAAAGGAAGTGAGGTGTAAAAACATAATAAATGTATGTAGGTCCTCATACATTTATTAGAGGCACTATTTATCATGTGCCGTAGTGACTGCTCTCCAGCGCTGGGCCCCAGCAAGTCCTCCCTTCACTGTGCTTGCATTCCGTTCCTTGCGCCAACAGATGGAACTTACTGGGGTAATCACCCCAGCTTGGCAGTAGTAGCAATAAGTGAAATTGGTATCAGGAGTGGGGTTTGAACCCACATTGGCATATGTCCATATTTCTGTGAAACAAATGACCTTAATGTTTTAAAACTACAAACTCTTTTTGTCCTAATGTCTCATGATTTAGTGCATTACCTGACCTGGGCTGGGAGGTTCTTTTACTCACGTGATGTCAGTGAAGATGGCAGCCATCTGGGGGCTCGACTGGGTGGGAACTTGCAGGATGGCCCTGTTGCGCAGCTGGCAGTGGGTGCTGACTATTGGCCGGTGTCAGCTGGAATTATTGACCAGAGCCTTAGCATTCCCCTTCATATGGCCGCTTCATGTGGTTTGGGTTTCTCCCAGCACGGCGGCCATTCCAAGAGGAAGGAAGCAGGAGCGGCCAGACCTCTTAGGACCTGGACTCAGAAGTTACAGAATGTCGCTTTCACAGTGTCCAGTTATTCAAAGCAGACACAGGGCCAGCCTCAGTCCATGGGTAAAGGACATAAGCTCTGCTTCTCAACGAGAGGGTAACATTCATGTAAGGACCAAGAGAATTGATGTTTGAAAACCACTTACTGACTGTGCTGGATTTTGGAACTCTAGCAGTGACTTAAATAGACATGGCCATTGAGTGCTGGCAGAGGCTGGAGAGAGGAAGAAAGGGCCAAAAT